AGGACTATAAAAAAGGTCCTCGGAAGGTGTGTATGTCCTCGGAAGTTGCTATATATCTGTATTTTTGTCCTCGCAACATATAGCAATCCAAGGACGGTAGTCATAGCGCAGCGCGTGTTCGAATTTCATGTAAATAAACAATGTACTTTACACGCGTTGTATACGTCGCTATGAGTCCCATATCGAACAAGACGCGGCGCGACGACCATCGCGCTTTAAAGTAACTCCCGTTACCTGGATGCAAATACGCCAATATACGACATGTATTAGTTAGTAACGAATAACAGATAAACTCCATCGTAATTAGCACTCTATTATACACCCTCCTGTTTAATTCACTGGAGGTAATTTGATATTATTTGAGTGTTTCCAAAATTGTGTTAAATTTGTTTTCAGTATAAATTTGCTGCACATATATAGATTTGCCTGTTCAGTTTCTCTGTTGTAGCCACCAAAATTTACGGTAGATAACTATATGTGGCAAAATACAGACTGATAGGCAGAGGGTGAATGTAACATGGACCTTGATAGGGGCACCAGAAGAACAAACACAGTCGAGACAACGATCACTCGGAGATACGAACATCGAGTTAATCGCCTTCTGATAAAGTTAATATTCCACATAATGGGTAGTTCATTTTAGCACGTGTGGGTGACGTGGAACAAATCCTAATAGTCCCAAGTCGCTGATTAGTAGCCTATAAATAATAGAATCGATATATTGGTGGGGGTGATAACAGAAACATTATTAGACATTTGTTTAAGGAGACAAGCGAAAAAATAATTGTTCTCAACTAAAATTAGTTTTTGTTCTGAATATGTAGATAACATAAAATCAGTGCCAAACATTATTCATTTATACATTTATACTCACCGAACTCTTGTAAGGTTTCCAATCACTATCTGCCTCGTACGCCATCACCTTGTCAAGACAGCTTGCCGCCAATGCCGCGTATTCGGACATGTTTCCTTATTAGTCGCACTAAACACGTTAAAATAAACTATAGCAGCGAGTTCTGGAGAAATAGTCGCGCATGCGCAACTTCGTTGCACTTTGGCGACAAGATGCCAGACTACGATATAATATCCACTCCAAAAACAGAGGGCATTAAACTTCTGCGTGGTGGCCGTCCAATTAAATACTACAAGTTACATTAAAAATGTTATTAGAAAATATTTATACTGGTGCATCGTTGCATACATCTGTCTACTTTGGCAATGAATTGTGGTAATAACACGTTCTCATGTTTAGGTTGAACCAAAATCTTAATTACTAGTAATGTAACAATATGTTATCTTTAATAACTTGACCAATCAAACAACTTCAATCTTGTGTTGTTGTCAAGCCTTTTTTTTTAAATGACTTGGGTGACCTTTCACCTATGAAAATGGACAACTCGTTGCCAAAAGTACTCATCAACTGATCTCTCATCACTATGTCTTATCAACGACAGACAGCTCTACCTATCGGTCAAAATAACTACTTAATCTATCTGCAAATTGCGAAATTCTCTCTAACTTCTGCCCTACTAGTTCGAAATCTCTTTCTATAATCTTCTTCATTCATATCATAACGCTTCAACAAAGCTGTCTTTACAGCATTGTAATCAATGGACTCAAACACATACAAAGCTTTGCCTGTCAATAATGCACTAATATTCATCTCTCTCTCTTTCACGTTCTGTCTCTTTCCTCACGTTTCAACCTTTCAGCCTTTCCTCACGCTCTCTTTATCCTCTCTCTTCTCACGCTTTGCCCTCAAAAATTTAGTCGGACCTTCGCCCCCATACCCCAAAAGTCTTTTAAATTCATTAACAATATCCATGCTGAAATGGTGTTAATCTAGTTCCAGTAGTTTTAAATAAAGCAATTTAATGTCTGCCTAGCAGTAAGAGCTGGTCTGACAACACCGTGTTTTCTAGACCTAAAGCAGTTACGACATCCCTAAGGGGATTATTGACAATAGAATCCGAATCGATAGTGAATCAAACTCAGAATCAATACCGAATCCGAATCACAAATCCCACTACTGACACCAAAATGTCACAGTGTAAGGCCTGCTTATTGCTATTGAGAGAGGCACCCACGGAACTATGGACAGGGGGACTCGTTCACTGCTAGAATGGGGTATGCAAGGCAATAGTACTGGAAATAAAATACATATGTACTTAAAGCTCCTGGCTTTAAGACATCTCAAAATAATTAAAAGAAACAAAGCACAGACAAATACAATGAATAAATTCACTAAAATAGGGGATTGCTTACGGAAGTGTTCATTGGTGAAAGTAAATTATGTAAAGTGTGTCCAATAGAAACACTTATTGAAAAGGGTTTCCACAAGGAAGATGTATAAAAAGTGCTTATTATCACATCATGTTTAAAAGTGCTTTTTCTACACACTCATGTGTTTATCATCACGATACGCGAAAAGTGTCTTAACCGAGGACCACAAACTTTGAAAATACATTTCACTAGACACATAGCATTTCACCAGAATTATGTATTTAAAAAGTGTTTATCATCGCAACACTTTCAAAAGTGCAGTCCCGCAAAACACAAACTGAATATCATCAAGCTATTGTAACAGAGACACATTTAAAATGCATTTCCACTGATAACATGGTAAAAAAATCATCAAGTCAGTAAACCCATTTTTTATTGACATAAAAGAAAGTGCACAATCTCTTCCCAAGTGACATTGTTGTCTCGAATGCAGTCTCCCCGGGTACAACAAATTCCTGAGGAAAAACAAACAAAAATAGTAGACTAAATAAAAAAATCATCAATTAAACAAGCTCTTTTAAAAAATTACTCTATTACATTCTATTCTCACTAAATCTTCGAATCTGCATATATGCACTACATCCATTTCCTTCATCTTTCACTTTTCTTCTCCACAAATGGTTTGATTGCTTATTTTCGCCATCTGGAAGTGTTGTATTTTAAAACTATATTTGCCCAGTCAGAGTTAGACTGTCGACAGTCATCAGACCTAATTTGTTAGTATATACTAAATCAGCAAACGCCCATTTCAGTGAAGGCCGGCGGCCTGAGGACTGTTAACGCTTGTAAACGCCCTCACGCGACATTACGTAGTTTTACACTTAAAAAATTCTTGTATAAGCTGTACGACTATTTTTGAATGTATATTATTATTCATATGAATCCTGCGCTGGATATTCACCCCCTTTCAAATAGCGTCCAACATCCCATGACAAGAGTTAACAAACAAGCAGCCTGTCGGTTGAGATAGCTCTGCTGTTAGCAATGCACATTTCAATTAGGAACTGAAGATGTCATTAGAAAATGAACAATATGTATAATATCAAAGCAATCAGACTTGCGGTTTTCAACAAGAAGTGGAAAATATCACTTTTTACCAAAAATGGCAAAAATAGTCATCAAAATTAATGAATTGACGATATCGTCACAAAATGAACAAATCTAAGAGAGGTCTACCCAATGTACATATACACCAGGTATCAAAGCATTCAGGCTTGTAGTTTTCAAGAAGAAGTCGAAAAAGTTGACACGGACGACGGACGCCGACGGACAATCACTCATATGATAAGCTCCGCTCGACAAAGTCGACAGCGGGGCTAAAAATACATCCAATGCATCTCATTGCAGATGAATTTACAATATAATAACGCACAAAACCATGTTGAAGAACGTGAAAAAATGCATGTTTATTTACATTACGTTACCGAGTAGGTAATGTTGGCGACGGTGACCATTAGTATGTCTGTGCCGTGTCTTGTATTATTTGAAATGAACAAGACATTGTGTAGTTTAACAATGTTTGGTCAAACAAAGTATTTTGAAAATGCGTGGCAACAAGAAAGGAATACTCAAAATACATGAACTGTGTAAATTCAAATATACATTACAGTCAATCTCCAAACTCTGGTACGTATGAGTGAAGGACACAGTCAGCTTGCGTCAATCTCCAAACTCTGGTACGTATGAGTGAAGGAACACAGTCAGCTTGCGTCAATCGCCAAACTCTGGTACGTATGAGTGAAGAACACAGTCACCTTGCGTCAATCT